CCAACGTCAACAAAACTGGCCACCATACAAAATGCTGAACCCGTCGTTCATTCATATCACTCCCTATTTGCTTCGCTCGATTCATTCGTCCATACGTCTACACAGAAGATCAGTAAACTCTCACTACATAATTCGACAATTCCGATGACAAATCGAATATAACCAACCAGTTGGTAATGTCGAGGACAAATCGAACAGAACCACTAACTGGAAATCCCGACGCCATGCAGCGACAAAGCAGCTCTCGTACTTAATGCATTAGCTGAACGAATCAACCATTATCTTATCGTCATTTTGATTATGTACCAACTCGTCGCACTAATATATTTCTCGAATTATCGCTATCATTATCGTATTAATGAGAAGGAACCATTATTATGATTAATCATGATATTATGACAATAATGGAATTATCTTAATCGCTAATCGAATCACATTACGAATATTGTATTCACGGCACGACATTTGTAACTCACGGAATTATTTTTCGGTACCATGAACGACATTCATGATTAAGGTGAGTTCATTCCATTTATTTTGCCGTATAGCATATTATGTTTCGAATCGCTTATCAAAGCAATGGCTCAACAACAATTATCGTCTATTATTATTTCCGTGGCTATACGATTATCGCATTGGAGATATTTTCGATGTACTCATCAGCTGCTCGTACTCGAAAATCTTGCAGCCTGCTAAGTAAATTGGTGGTATGATATTACGCACATGCACACGAAGCAGCAGTTCAAGCAGTCGAGCGAACCTCCTGCACGCTGATATTCGCATGTTTTTCGACTACCCCAACGCTGGCAACGGTTTGCAACGCTATCATACACATAAGTTTGGAGTCATATACTCAATGGTAGTAACTTATGTTCTCGATATGCATTTAATGTCCATGCATCGTATCTGTACGCAGCTTTATTCTCCAAATTTTCTACACGATAATCTTGACCGCAATTTCTTCACCAATCTGCAGCCACTCGATTTATCGATGAGCCTTACCGTAATGTCTATACGATTATCGAATTCCGTCCTAACTGACATGCCTAAACGATATTAAATATTTTGCAGCATTTGTATTACATTTTCTTATCGTACAACTGCTCCTAATGTATTCTATTCGAAATCGATTATTTTTGCTCATAACCGCTTACCGTATATCTTTGATCTGTTACTATGCGAACTTACGAACGTACTCGGACAAGGTAACTTTAATTTTCGTACCTTTCGATGCATTCCGACTATTTTGATTTTTTTTCGCAAACACAGACACTTTCGTATCCTTGTTTGCTGGAAGGGGGCTATTGTAGTGCCTCCACATATATTTCAGTTCTCTCACATCTAACTTGGTTAATCCCTTTCGATTAATTTATTTAACCAAGCCATTCGCTTAGCAACAACTCATATGTACCATTGTTATTTTTTATTATCTGCTTTGTATGAGCTTATACGACTGAGCATTGCTTACGCTTACGCACTTACTCATCCTTTTCGCTTTAATGTTAATCTCGTAATTTTCCCATGAACTCACATGATTTGTATCGCTTGCATTTGACCTTGTCAATCATTCGTCGCTTTTATTCATGTGTGTGCATACCTATTTCGCTTGTCATATGTCTGTCTTATTCTTATCTGACTATATATTTTTAGTCATACTCTATCTCTTTGAGTTGGCTCACTAGCCTTCTCCTATTCGCTTTACTCATTCGCTCGCATTGTAATCCAAAGAGTTGGCTCACTAGCCCTCTCCACGTCGCTTCTCCTCTTCGCTATGTGGTGTGCCTACAATAAACGTATTCCTCAATATGAGTTCACCTTCTGATTTATAAACGGAGCTATAAGAACACGCAGTTATAGGCACCCTACAGATATACCCCACTAAGGGGCCAATCAGAATCACTAATTACCTTGTGGCACCAGAGAGTACTGAATATTTGACTTGGTTTTGACTTCGCCTGTTCAACTGTTGTACATATAAACCAACAACCACATGTCTATAGACGAGATGGAAACTATAACATTCAGCTGGTTGACCAGAATACGGTGAACCTAATTCATTTCTCACATGGTGATAATGTAGATTTGTTGTGCATTTTGTCTGACAAAACCAACACGTTATATTGATGGACTATTCAGATAACATAATAATATGTGGTTTCTTTCGTGTTATTTTAGTCAGATAATGAGTTGATAACCTATATTATAAGTAGTCATAGTAATCATAATAATAATTTACAATTGAATTTCAGGATAATTCGGAATTGTTTCGGTTTACGTTTGTTTTAGTGGTCGTGCACCAAATCAAACACTTCAAGCGATAACAATATTTAGGTAGACGCTGTACGAATTTCAAGAAAATGTTGCGAAGGTAGGACTATAACATACGAATAAGTCAAGACTAAATGAAACATATATATGTATGTTAACTGAAGCAGTCGGTACATGTTTCAGTTATGACGAACCACTGACCGGCTTGAAGATTTATGGTTTACATTGATGAAGTAAGCAGTAGTAAATGAGGAAGCTCCTAAAGTAGAACATGACACTAATCCATTAAATCATTTATTGTTTCACTGGGTCAAAGTATAAGGTAACGAATAACTGGTTTTCTTTTGCGTGCTTATGATGATTGGGGATCTTAAACTAAGTGGCTTAAAGTTGTCTGCGATGATGAAGGTGCTTCCATTTTCTTATTCAGACAAATTCTAAGCTTCTTCATTCACAATGAACTCCCTGTTTTTCCTCTTCAAATTTATTTGCTTTTTTACATTTTCTCGAACCTTATCTTGCATCCCTAGACGTTCCCATTATTGATCATACTCTATCTCTACAACTCTTCGGCTGACCTGACAATTTTATATCCTTGTGAAAATGTGTTATTGCCATTTGGAATTATGTTCGTGTGTATGAAGCTTCACGTAGAAAACTGAATGACTGAGTGCTTTAATCACTGGACTGTGTGCCTACATGTATTCGGCCTGTTTTCATTGTCTTCCACTTTTCCCTTTCTTCTGTTGTTGACTGATGTCTTCTTCTCGTTCTCCCTTGTATGAATCTGTATCACGCGGGATCCTCTCTTCTCGATAATGTTTCTTATTGACGTTATTGCATCTACACACAATTTCAATATACTATTTCGTACCTCTGATTTTCATTCGACTCTGTAAGTCATAGATTGTTCTGCTGAGAGCCAACTTAGACTCACTGACATTGCTACAAACTAGGAGAAAGACAATATTAAGTGTTTGCGACGGTGTTTCCGCAATCATCCAGTGCTATTTTATTTCCAGTCTCGTCCTGACTATCATGAGTTGAAGATCTGAAGGAATATGAGCGTCTTCATTTTTTCTCACTTCGTCCATAGACTTTCTGAACACTTTATAAGTGCAGATGATATAGATCTAGTTGGCTGCAGAGTACTCTGAACGAGTCACTCTAGCTTAGTGTGTGCGTTTAAAAAACATAATGGTGCTGATTATAGCAGTTATGCTGACCGCCTGAAATGTTATTACAAGCATTGTTTTCCATTCCAACAAGTGCGTTTGATAGACTACAGATATCCATGAAACTGGCGCTGATCAAGCTGGCTAGTATCTTTCGTTTGAGCATAGAAATCGATTATATTTATTGCGATTCGTCTCTCTTATAACAAGGGTTGAGACCTGTATATCAAATAGTTATCACTCATCGTCCTGGTCTAATTTCACAATGTAAAAGTGAGTAGATGAAACTGAATGAACTACAATCAATTTCGAAACAGTTACTGTGTATAACAATCGACATACGACAGTGTAACATGAACAAATATTTTAACTAATGTTATAATGATTTAGAATACACATTGAAAGACGATGTTTTGCTAAGTCCCCTGAGACAACCGTCTATTTCCATTTGAAAATATAATTCACTAGGGTGATGATTGGTGATTAATTAATTTTATTCGTAGTGAACATTATCAAACGATGGTGTTTTTTGGAAAGTGAATTTCAATCTCAATCATTTCAATCAAACAACCGTTCACTCACTGAATAAATGAATAACTGAATGTGACATATAATATTTGTATGAGAAATTATGTCATCTTGCACAATTACTCCCAGATTAATTAGAATATATTCATGATATAATGAAGTAGTTAATGACAGCTTTGTGTGTTATATGTCATTAATCGTAAACATAATAGTCAAGAGAACGAGCGACTAATATGTTTATGCCTAATTCGAATCTAATACAGCCAACACAAATGCATACTTTTCACAAACAAAAATAACCAATCTTATTTGCTAAATTAAAACACTAGTTTATTAGAAATTTTCTTCTTTTCTATGTCGAATAGAATAAAGTTCATGAGATTAAAGTAAATTAAACTGATCAACGTCAAACAATCAAACATCGCATTTGAGTAACTAAATAAAATTGTTTATTGTTAAAGTAATTTAAAAGGTTCAATTCACAGTAGGCAATTTCGTAAGTTATCTTAACTCTAAAAATAATTACAATTTTGAATGGAAATACCTGTTCTGAATGTCGAGCATGATATAATAACTAGGTTATTTATTGGTATACATATATATATAAACATCAAACGTTTCACAATTCTTCTCTACGGAAATGTAAATAAGATTGAATGATGCAAAACACTGAAGTAATCAAGAACATTTCATTTTTATCCACCTAATCACTTAAATTAGCATATGAAAAATGAAAACTTTTTTGTGTCTACAAGAAATTTCAGTCTCCGTTGAGAAGTTCTATTCGAAGTTTATTGACAGACTGTCATTTTGTTTAAATGAGTTCATGTTATTCATGTCATAAGTTTCCGTGGTAGAAATAGTTAAATTTAAAAACTGTATCCACACAACCAGTTTTCTCGCAATTTATGGTGAGAATAACGATCAAATGAAATGGTAATCAGTTAAGTTTAAACAGAAACATGAGCATTACTACTTGTGATGTGAATACCAATCAAAACTGTTTTTGAATGGATGATGTAAAAATTGTCAACTTGGCGAATTCCAACGTAGTTTCCGACCGATACAAGCATCATTCCACCATTTTGAAACGTTCGGGAATGTATATGGTTCCAGTTTATCAGCAGTATGGGCTAATAAGCATATAATGCACATAAGTCGTGGTGACAAGGCATCTATGGTTCCATGATCACGCCATGCGAAGTATTCATTGTATGCGGTTTCATTTCTATCCAGATAATTCAAATATTTAGCGAGTTCTGCTGGTGATTGAAACTGATCCACATGAATAAACGAATGAGGAGGAGCAACACGCTTGTATTCTTCGACTGATGCACCCATGACTACTGGAACTACAGTATGACTGCGTAAATCAAATCAACCAAATACAGTAAGTGACTGCGTTTTTGAGGTGTTGACTTTGCAAATAAACGTGAGAAGGTCAGTTGAGTACTACAGATAATTTATCTCGACCACCAAGATCTATTTTATAAGAACCAAAGATGTATATATTACGTTTAACAGTTAAATAAAAACACAGTTTGCCTTATTCGAGCTTACTAGACGTCACCTCTGTCATTGAGTAACAAGGGTTCCTCATATTATCAACCAAATCAACCTTACGATCTATAAAATACATTCATCCAGGTAGTAAATCTCCAGAGGAATTCACTCTGGTTCTACGTATCTATGTTCTTCAAGATGTGGTGGAAAATCAGCCGATGATCAACTGTGATCAGCGAATGCAATGACAAACGTATAGAGAAAACGCAATTCAGCTATCAACTGAAGTATAATAAACAGGAAGAAAACAATGGGCAACAATATCAACAATATATTATGTTCACGTACCTCAATGCGTTGATGAAAAACTTTTCTGTAATATAATCAGGACATAAGCTGTTTTCAAAACTCAAGTAGAATTTATACTGATTTTCGAGTAGAGCAAAACATTCAGCTTCGGATTTCCTAGGGCAATTCATAGTGCCACAAGCACCATAAATATCAACCTATGACATTTTTCAAAAACAATGACGGGTCGTTATTTATGCATTAAATTACCAGCACTTGCAAACTGTACAAAAACACTGTGCTACCAGATGGTGGCCTGTGTAAGAAGAAAAAGGTCGACAACAAAAGCGAACTGTATTGTGAGATCACAGTGGAAACTGAGGAGCCTGATTCAGAAATCGGCAATCCACATACAAATTTATCAATATATATATCGGCAATTAGTTAGATAAATGCTGATTTTTTATGTCCATGAAATGTGTCTCAGTGAACACGGTATTTCACATCATAAAGATGCAAGTAAATGTGTGCAATGTAAAAGTCAGATGGTCTTTTTAACGTGATATGTTTTACTCTGATTTGTCACCTTGCTTCCGCAGGTATGGAGTATGGAATCAAAGTTAAAATATTCAGTGACTTTAATTGTCAGCAGAATGTAACACAAAAATATCAGGAACAACAACTTAAACTCTGTAAGTGTACATTCAAATTCATTAAAAATTACTATTTTGCATCCACGTTAAATAATTAAATTACAGGATCACGTATAGTATTAACGGATACCAAAGCTTGAATACCTCAGTCTTTTTCTACTTTCTGTGGAAAAAAATTAGGATACTTTCATTCATTTTGCAAAAGGGATTTCCAAAACTTGTGAAATATTGTGAGCTAAAGAGACCAATGTATAACGTCTCAGACAGACATTTTTGATATCATCCAAAACATTCAACTAAGGAAGCTGAACTGATTGTTTTTCTTAGTGCATCCTTCTTTTTGGCTTCTAATGACCCAAATCTGCTTGAATACTTAAACGCTTCGTAAGGAAGTCTAGTTCGAATTTTCATCACTGTTACGGTACATTTATCCATTTATAAAATCAATAGCTGAAGTGAACGGATTCTTCTTCGTTTTACATACAACAACTGCATTTTAGTCCACAGTGCGAACTGAAGCACAAAAGTCGCGTCAGAAGGGTCATTGTTATAAAATATCTTTTATTATTGATCTTTAGGTTCAATAAGCAGAAACGTTGGTAGTTTAAAGTTTTGAGAAATCCCAAATGAAGTGAAAAATAGTCTTTGTTTTAACTAAGTCACAAATTCATAATCGAATATATATTCTGCTTAGAAGCTCAACTCTCATTTCAATAACTACTTGACAACTTATTGTTAATCTTACGCATTGTGCGTTTTACAAACATTTTTGTCGCTATAATCTTTGATTAGGCTAACGGGGTAAATTTATGTCACATCCATTAGCTAGCTTGATTTGGTTAAATTATAAACTAAAAATATGATATTTAAGACATATCTTATTGAACTTATACTGTGTTACCGATTGAACCTGTTAAGCAAAGGGACCGTTTCAAACAAATAAGACTGGAAGCAACATTATGTGGGTTCTCACCTCAAGATATCGAGATAATTCTTTGACATAAATTTGTCTCGGACTTGAAGCTTTACAGTTGCTTACAAACCATGCTGCCATTTTAGATTTACCAGTGGCATAGTTACGAGAAGGAAGTTTATATTTTGTATCTGGACCATGACTAGCGTCTAATGGGACATAATTGTGATACGGAGAATAGATAGTTGAATCCATTCGATAAGTGATTGTGTAGTTGACCTGAATATAAAATTTGTGACATTAGAATATGCTATTTATAGAGCATATCTGATTATATAGATTACCAAACCACTTCGAAAAACATTACTTCATGTAGTCGATACTTGTTTTCAATACCCTTTGGAGACTTCTAAAGTCCCATCAATCTAAGGTATCCTATCAGACTGCTAGTGTGCAGTTTCATGAAGGCTATTTAGCGCGTCAATTCGTTTGCGCCAGTGAGTAGTACCTTATGTTTGTCAAATAATTTATGGGGATTACCATGCGTATGCACTTATGATCATGTGTACATCAAGATGACTGTAGAGTCCCCAATATTACTGACACTATTCTCAACATAATACTGTTCATTCGAATGGCCATCAGCTGAAATCCACACAGATAGATAACGTTGAGATGCTCTGTTTAAAATCGAAGTTAAATCCGAATTTCGCCTGAATTATATCATCCACTTTTGAATTCACATTCACAATGGTTATATTTATATGTTCTACTAGTACGATTGTTAGATGTTGATCCAGGATACAGGATCTAGATATATGTGATGAACTGACTAGCCACTGCAGATTGGAATTACACTATTTCTAGTTACTTATTGGGTATGAGATTTCTATTTGTATTTGACATAACTCCTGCATAAACAGACTAAAGTAAAATTGTGTCATTTCATTTCAGTCAGTGCATTAACAAGTGAAAACTTGGTGTTTTTCACAACTGACAAGTTATCTTACGATAAACAAACATATTTTTACTAATTCAAGGTGACAGATCGATTGTTCATGGTATTTAAAAAGAATAAAGACTTAATCGCATGTGACCCCTAAACACAGAGTAGTTGATTGGAACCAATTACTTCATAGCTGAGGTAAATCTAACAACCAAATATCGCCCAAACATTTCTGGTGAACACAACTGGAGACTACTGAGTAGTGAGCTATTGCTTGAAGCAAACTGTTAAATATTTTTCGTGCTAAGAACAATAAACAACTTTATACTTAAAACTATATTAGAATCTTAAGTCTAACATTACTTTTATTGAGTTTGTCAGTGAATTCTACGTAATAGGAATCAAGGAATATTTTAGAACTGTTCGCCTGTTTGTATATAACTGACGAAACGAGATATTTTCGCGATTGTTTTAATACATATATATACCTATAATAGATGGTAAATAATACGCTCACTTTATTTTCCAATCCATTAGCAATTTTGATAATTGGGGGAGGTTCATGTACGAAAACGAACCATAATTGTTTTGGTAGTCTTGGACCTATAGGATATAAGTGATCTGTCAAGAGGATAACATCGGCTTCAATCCATCGTAATTTCTTGATAGTATATTCACAGTCACAAGCGTAACAGAATGAAAAGTTATAGGAATTATAGATCGGTTGGCTTCCATAGTTAAGGATTATCTTTTTCTGCAGATAAAATCAGTGAATAAAATACCTTTAATAAGTAAATGAGGCCGGCACAGTATAAATGGATTTTCCATTGTAAACTTTCGTGCATGTCTGACGACAACATAAAGTGTGTGGACCTTATTTCAAAAAATAACTCAAAATACCTGTGAGTTATGGGTAAAATAGATTAGTTCATGAATTGCTCAAAGCTTTTCAAATATAAAACACAGAACTATGTTATACATAGCATTTTCGTTCAGTGTAAAACGTATTTATCTTTTGAATCGCAGACAATATACGATTCACAGACGCACATAGTCTTTTTACAAAAAATATAAGCGCAGTGTTTTGAGAAGTATTATTGAAGTATTTTTCGAATATATAGATCTAGTTTTCGATAGATTTTATCAAAATCCTTAGATTACTGTTATCAACTTTCGTTAATTGTGTTTAGTTTTATTGTCGTATGTACAATCTCATCCAATCTAGAACTTTATTTCAGAAACCTTGCACTACTAGTCATATCAGCATATATAGACATCCAAAGTGGACTCTATTACTAAAAGTCCATAGTCGTAAAACTGCCATCATCTTTGGAGTAGTACAGTCAGTTGTTTAACTTGACAATAAATTACTTGGAACGATATTTGTTGTGCTAAAAGACTTCTCCAAACCACTGTTAGTTAGATTACTTCCGTTGAAGAGACCTTCGGGAAGTTTTGTAAGCTTGTGCAAACTATTTTTGTGAACACCGGTTTCAACATGGAATAAGAGAACTTAAAAGCCTGGTGAAGTTCACTAGCTTTATCGAAGCGAATAATATTGAATAGATTCAATGATGTGTGACGGTGGCTTGACGACTGAAGCTCCGATGTCAACACACTTTAATACTAACTGACATAGTTACACTTTATTTGAAATCGAGCCTCGATCTGATTAATGAGAAGGACATTGATAGTAATACTCCCGACTGCCCTACCAGAACATCAGTACAACTTGTGTGATTTCAGTATGATAATTACACAAAAATATTCCGAAACAAGGAGATGGTCATTGAATTGTCTTAATTATTTAACAAAAGATAGTCCAAAATGATTAAACAACAATGTGAAGGAAAAATTGAGGAAACCTGTCAACTCTATAAACTACGATCAATATTATGTAAGAGAAATTCATTAAAAGAAACTTACACGAGTTGGAATAGATTTTGCTTGATATAATTTTTCAAGATCTCTTTCAGTAAAACCGAGTGTAATTTTGTTTTCATGCTTCCCCATTTGTGATAATACATAACGTGATTGACTGATGTTCACTGTTTGAATTGAGTGACTGTCATTTATTAATACACTGTGCGAGAAATTATCATTTAATGATAAACTAAATGGTTCTTCTTCCTTGAATGAAAGAATAAATTTTGTCAGCTTGAAGCTTATGCACAGTAGAACAGCAATTTTAACTGACAGCACAGTTATACGCCTAATAGTCTTCATTTGGAAATATGGTTTTTGAGATACTTTATCCAGTTCTTTCTAATTACCGTAATACTAGATCTGTTGACGAAAAGTACATTTTCAAGCGGCGTTTTGGAAAGATAATCAAAATGCGATTGCTAAACAAAGATGCAAATGATTCTTACAATAAAGCTTCAAGATGATGCTTACCTTCCACAAAATCAAATGATATCAAAAACGTTACATTTATTTTCAGTAGCTAGAAATAATCCATAGTCCATATGTCTGTGTAGATTTTTCTACAAATTCTTATGATTTCATGAGGCACTCAATCTATGAAATCAGTCATACACAAGATAAAAGTTTCTAGTCAACGAAGTGAATTTCACTAACAGTATTTGAAAGAATACCTAAGGAAAATCAGCTACATACGCTATCGTTAATGTGAACGAAGGTCCCTCTATTTTGTTATGAATTCCAAAAAATATATCATCCACCAATAATAAAGAATCTACTTTCAACCGCTTCTTCAGTATAAATATTTATTTTCTATTCAAATGGTAAATAAAATATACATACTAGACATAATTATATTTGGAGTTATATTTGACAAATATAAACATTTCTTTTAGGTGTGAGAAGAAAGGTTTAAGGAAGAAAAGCAGTCAATAAAATACATACATACATACTTGTAGTTTCAGAAATTCTCAGGATTACAGTTTCGTCGTTTCTTGTGCCATAAATTGTATTCTTGTGTCGACTGCAATTGATCGAGTGTGTCTAAAGTGAATTTATTAATTCAGTGAATTTTTTAGTATGTCAGAATACACAAGTTTTCTTACTATTGAGGGCAACATTTACATTGGTCTAACTGAAATATAGACAAAGTATTAATTTAATGATTGCGATTGGTGATTATCTAGATAATGGCATTGTTATTTAGTAACATTTTGTTTGTTTCAGTTAGGTCATTTTTTGAAAGATGAGTAGTTATTGATTTCCAGTATTGAAAGTCGAATGTAACCGGTAGTTTTAGAGCGTAGAGAAACAATCCTTTCTTTAGATGACGGTTGTATATTTATTTGTTCCGCTTAATGTATATTGTACTCAGTGCAGTTGCAATTATTGCACAATATTAACTGATTGTAGTAAATCCTAAAATGCAATAGTGACAGCCTACATATGCAAGTGAATACACAATTTGTTGGTTGGAGAAAAGGGCATAACAGGACATCTCAGCTGATTTACCAAATACTAGAGATTTGAAAAGAACTGTCATCTATGAATTTAATAATATCAAAAATGTTATCATTACTTGCTTATAGTTTTGGTTGATTGTTAACACATTCAAACGGCCTAAATAGTTCGTCTGCATGCAGACTCTGATTCTCAACTTTCTAAATAGCCTTACTAATGAACAGTATCTTAATTAAAACAGTAGCCCATTGCAACCTTCATCCGAATTTAAGCTTTTTAAATCTTATCAAGGATTCTAAGTTCTAACAGGATATCACGCTCAACATATCAGCTCTAGGCTACGAACAACAGCGTTTCAAGATCTTGTGTGAGATTTAATAAACACATAGTAAATGTCTTTTATACACCTTCTTATCTCCTGACATTTGAGACAGTTAGACTTTAACTGGGTCCTAACAAAGTCTCCTACATTTTAACATATGTGGATTGTTTCACGTGATAGCCAGAAGCAGTGCTAATGAAAGATACAACTTCTTCAAAAATAACCTGCGCTTTAGTCTAATTATGGGTAACACATTTCCTCTGTTCACCCGCCATTACTTTATACCGTGGATGTTAGTTAGACAAACTCTAGGTAAAGGCTCTCACACAAGCACACTCACTGGATCATCATTGGATATATCTTGATATCCACGCATTTGCTACAATTAGCCAATTAGGGATATACAATGTTATTTCCTTATATATCTTCAGACCCCTTTATTCTTGGCTTCTTGTTTGACTGGATTCCGATACTCTCGCTTGGAAAGGCGTTTCTGATGAAGGCGTTGTAGAATTTCGAATTATCTTGCAATATGTCGGAGTATTTAGGTTGTTTGTTGTCGTTTCTTTTCCTCTGAAGTGCCACTTTTTGACCATTATTTTG